GATGTTTTAGGCATCACTACTACGAACACATAGCCTATGGCTGCCCCACAAGTTGAGTTGTCTCATTCACCGAACAGAGCGTCATCGAGAAAGTAGAGGAAGAAGAAGCAAACAACGACCTGAACAAGGAACTTCAGCTCCAGAAAGGTGAGGATTAGATGATAGTCATCAAGAGAGTACTACAAACTGAGCAAGAGAAGGATCATTCATGGTTGAGGCATAGTATTTTTCGCACCAAGTGTACAGTGAAGGGAAATTTTTTATGGTCTGGTTATCAATGGTGGGAACTGTGAAAATGTAATATCCACTATGATGGTGAAGAAATTGGGGTTGGCCAAGCAAAAGCATCCTTAGGGCCAGAAAGCTGTTGCGGGGAAGTTGCTACGAAAAATTTGGTTGCCTGTTTGTTGCAGTTGTGTGAAGACAGCTGTGGGGCATCTGTTTATGAAAAAATGATCATTCTACCCATGTTTATTAAAGTTGTTTAAAACAGAACTGTGACGGTCACATATTTGACACTTCTGAAGCAGAAATGCATTTCAAAACAGAACAAAAGTTCAGATACACAACTCACTTAATAATGAGCTCCGAAAGTGCTTAATATTTTTGTTTAAAATATTTACACATATACCACACATTCTTATGCATTTACATATCTAACACAAACTTTTATTTAGGAAGATTTGCATAATATTTTGGAGATCGTATGTACCACACATTCTTATGCATTTACATATCTAACACATAAACTTTTATTTAGGAAGATTTGCATAATATTTGGGAGATCGTATGAAAAAGAATTGGGTAGCATAGACGTAATAAAGTAAATTTAAGTGTTAGATATGGAAATCAATGGAATTAATCATGGTTTTAAAAATGTAAAAATATGAAAAAATGACTAATTGTTAGTATCAATCATATATGTAAATTTCTTAAATATTTAAATTTATGTGTTAGATATGTAAAAACATCGGTATGTTTAGAATGTGTAAATCTCCCAAACAAAAAATTCCTACACTTCTGGCACATCCACTCACACTTAAAACTTACCTCCCCCATCTCTCCTTACCTTGTGGTTTTTCTTTTGCATTTGTCTATTTTTTTTAAATGACATTTTGATAAATTCTCCTTTATATTCTCCTGAAAATAAAAAAATTATAAAGTCATCACGTGCACGACGACTTTGAAGCTAACGGTGCAAAGCCGCCGCTGATGAGACAAATTTTTCAATTTTAAAAATTTTATTATATATATTATATATATATATATATAATTTCACACTAAACAACAAATGCAATGTAATTTATAAATAAAAGTTTATATATGTATCAAAGAGAGTTCACATCAAACCTTGAAGTTAATACATCATCAGCTCTGCATCAAATGCCTATAACTAAGCACCAACAAGGTTTTGAAGAAATATACAATCAAAAACATCACCATAAAACTATGCAAATTTTTGCTTTGATTA